CCCAGTTTAAAAAACAAAAAAATAATGGAAAACTTTTTTTTTTTTTTTTTTTTTTTTTTTGACATTCTTGGTGCTCTCGACGATGATACGAACAACTATTGTTTTTCTAACATTAGTAAAGTAAAGTAACTATTGACGAGCGGAATATCTCTATGTAACAAGTTTCAAACCTAGCCCAAGCTGTTGAACCGATTGAACCGATTCTGGCGGGAGTTCAATGGAAAGGAAAGGAGACTCATCAACTAATTTACGATATCCACAAAGCAAACTCTTGTTTAACCCAAAACGTCTTTCAGGTAGAATGGGAGAGAGTGAAGAACGCAAGAATAGCAAGATGGCAGAGCAAGCTGTCTGTAAACCTTCATTAAAAGTAGTTCCTACATACGAACCTAACGATCCAAGTATCTTCTTTTTCCCCCGTTGTACCCGAGTCAACAGATGCGGAGGTTGTTGCGGGAATCAGTTACTCTCTTGCGAGGCAAAGAAAACGGAGACCCAAAATTTCGAGGTAAGACAGCTTGATAAATGTGTCATTACTGGTGAACAATATAATCACATATGACGAATGTTTTAAAGATCGTTGTGGCGAAATTCATGGGGGACAGATTTGAGTACCAAGGAAAGCAAGTTGTGCCAATAGACGTGGACACGAAATGCGAGTGTAACTGCATAATAAAGCCGTCGGTAATTTGAGAACAACTGATAAGTGACATCTTCCTTCTTAAACTAGTACAATTCGGTTTGCACCGCAACAATTCGAAATCAAAACCAGACACACGTTACGTGGAGGAAGCGGAGCTTGTTAAACTTGAGCAACATTTTTTTCAGGACTGTACACCCAAACAAATTTACAAACCAGCCGAATGTAAATGCACGTGTACCAACCAAGATGAACGTCAGAAATGTAACGAACACGAGGAAAAAACTTGGGATTCAATAAACTGTAGCTGTTCTTGCAGAAATCCACATGAATGTTCCACCGGCTGGTTTTACGATCAGAATACGTGCAGGTGTGAAAGTTTGCCAACAGACTCCCTAGAAGTCCAACTACTAGGGAAATAAAACCTCATTACCCACACTCTCCTTAGATGTCTTAGATATCTTGTAAGCTATGCATGTTGCATCTAATCTTTTTTCTAAGAATTTCCTTTCTTTCTTTTCCTATTTTACTTACAAGAATTAACACATTTATCTTCTCTGTTTCGTGATTGTTACTTAAATGAATTCTTTACTGTCAATCCTATTTCTATGCTATGCTTGTTTTAATATCTTATGAGAATGACACAATCAAATTATTACTTCAGTCGAATCGAAGTAACAGGTACATCACTCGATCAAAGTAAAGTGTTATTTTCTCCCAATAATTTGTGTGTTTATTAATTGCATGCAAATAGTTTTTAATAAGAAAGGAAGAGACGGAATTAAATATTATTTCAAGCTCTTAATACTTGAAAATATTTCAGATGCGAGCAATTACCGCTGTCTAGATCTTGGTTTTCATCAGTTACAAGAGAAACTGGCTACAGATTTGGACAAACTCAAAGACCAGAAAATGCACCACCAGTAATCATTGCTCTCTCAGATGCAGATGATCCTAGAAGAAAACCTAAACCAGATCCGGAATACAAATAAGAATAGTTGTTTATGAACTAAATACTAAATGATAAGACTTACAAGATATTTATTTTATAGCACAAACTTTTAGTTTACTCTCCCACCTTTGTGCCATTTTGCTATACACGCACGCATACACATGTAATTCATTACCATAAAGTATAAGTGACTGTACTTTTACTACGTATTAAAAAGCATTGTGATATAAGGAAATACAATTGTTTAATGCCTTGAACTTGCATATATCATTATCGAAAATTCTAATAATTCCTCTCATAATAAAAAATTTTTAAATCATTTAAACTCTCACGGTAATCTTGTGGGATTCTTCTTTTCTGAACGCAGTGTCGGTAAAGATGTAAGTGAATAAATTACCCAACGAGCACATTTCATTCTGTGCTCAATCGTTAACATTGAGATTGACACTAAAATGGTAAGGAAACTAGAGAATTCAGAACTTCCTTACAAAACTTAATTAAATACCCATTTATGTAATAAAATGTTAAATAAAAAAAATGCCTATCTCAAATTTAACTTAAAGACATCCTATCCAATAGCAAATAATCAAAAACATCAAATAACATTTCGATGTTATATAGATAATTTGTAATATTATTTGCAAGACAAACACAAATTCAATTCAGTATAAATGTTTTTTTCACGATTCTAATTCAAAGCAATTTATTCAATATAACAATGGATCGACATTGGCTAAAAAAAAAAAATACAAATGCTAAAAGCACAGTGACAAAATAGTAAGATGGCTCTTTGATTTAGAACCTTTTCTTTCTTGCTGAAACAGTAATGTACATTCATTTCGCGACCACAAACGCAAAAATTCCAAAAATTGATTGACAAAGCCAGAAACGAGTAGCATTTTCCATTATGCTAGATTTCCTATCCAGAATAGATAAATAATATACATAAAATTTTATTATTCATGGATTTATAAATATCCATGGTTTATAAATATTCATGGATTTATAAATATCCATCACTATCCTCGCAAAAAAATTCTATATAATACAACCAATCACTCATATTGATTCAGATTTTTTATATTATGTCCTACGATATGACTGAGTAATCGGAGGAACAAAAATGCATTTGACTCACCATTAGATGCGGGAAAAGTCTGCGACAAAGCCGTCATCGAGGAGGAACCATCGAACCTCATGATGAAAATATAACTTTGAATTCTATTTTAATAGAAGAATAAAAGTATTAAATTTCTCATCTAAATTTTTTTATTAAAAATAGGATTAATTAAAATATAGTGTGTAAATATACTTACGTTTTTGATTGTGAAGCACTGACAACGTAAAGCCTACATTAGTCCTAAATGTGTCTCACGAGACTTCATCACGAAAACAATTGCTGACAAAGACATGATGACGATGTTATTATAGAGAATACACGTTCAAAAGTAAAATATAAAAGTTACCTCAATTTAATGAATCTATATTCGAACAGAAAATGTGATTTATACATACCTTCGTTATTGTATAGCAGTTGTCGAAACCTTCGAAATGATTTCAGTGTTTAACAATAGTATTTAACAATCTGGACAAAAGAAAATCAAAGGTTCAAAGTTGATGCCAACATTAATAATATAAAATATCAATAATATATAATAAAGTAAAGCTCAAATTCTTAAAAGTCTTAAAAGTTGACAATCAAAGAAAAATGTTGCTTGACAAATTATAAAATATCGTTATGACAACATCTACAGAAATATTAAATAAAATTAATATTAGTTAAACAAACCTGTTAACAGTCTAGAGAAGATAATAAAATGGTAATGAGAATGCTACACAATAACAGAAAATCACACGCGTCAAACAAATAAACACATCTTAACGCCACGTTTTCCAACAGCTGACTGATGTTTCGCGCCTAAACTTCGGCTAGCCGTTTTCCTATTGGCTTACGTGATATACGTTCTCTTCAGTTAAAGGCGCGCGTAAAATTAAAAAGCCCGATCATCAAAGCAAATAATCATAAGGAATTTTTGAAATTTTGTTTTTCTACCGATAAAAACTTATATGCATAGATGTTTTACTATAATTTTATATTATAAAATTAACATTTATCTATTAATAGTTATCTGTGTTGAAACATAGTTTATGAATTGAATTGTTCCTAAAATAATTGTAAAATGTCATTAAAACATCAAAACAGAGATCCAATGTAATTAATATTTTAAATTAATAACATTTTCCGATTTATTCAATTTTTGGCATTGATTAGTACCGGTGATTTACTAACAGATGGTGTTACCTTGACCAAAACAAGACACATCATACTAATTGTACATAATTATTTACGAATTTCAAAATTGCATTTTATTCAAGTTAAAAAGAAATAAAATTTGCATTAAAAAGAATATAATAATATCCTTTAATTTAATACTATACAAAGAATCAGTACAGTTACATTTGTAAATCTATGCGATTGGATTGTTTAATCTCTACTACTGGTGAGTATAAAATTATTCAGTTCACTATATACTTAATTTTGCAATTAATTAAGGCTTACTAAGCATCTAAGTATCTCGTAAGCTTAAGATTTGCAAATAAATTTATAAGTAATCAGTAATTGACGCAAATTAATGAAAAAAAATATTTTAATGTTATTTTAATTAATGAAAAAATTAATAAATTAATGAATATTTACTAATTATAAAAAAAATGAAAATGAAAAACTTTTTTAGATTTCACTTTTCTAAAAACAAATATTTTTAATATTATTTGAACAGAAAAGAAAACTATTGCATTTTTGGCCTACGTTTTTTAAATTTCATTCTTTTAAATTGCTGCCACATTCGTTTGTCTCATATTTATCGCGATTTTGATCATCAGTTGAATCTGGTAATTAAAAACAGACTTTTTGTATCCTTATCGTTGTCATCATCTACATTGAGTGACGATCTGTTAAAAACAAATTTATTTTTGATAGTGGAGATTAAGGGATGTACTAGAACTTTTCGTTGCTGTTTCTGTTTCTATAGATGTTTGACAGAGTCATTAAGATCTTCAAAGAAATCGATATCTTTGAGAAAGCCATCGAAATCGTTTATATTTGGTACCACTCTATTAGCCATTTCATTAATTTCATTTGGACCTGGTAATTTGGCTTTGAGTTGTTCAATAGCCTGTATTTCCGCCTGTTTTTCCATTGTTAAATTATCTAGAAAAGTTTTAAGGTAGTAAACATATTTAGTTTCTTATCAAGTAAAATAAGTTCCAAATTACAATATGTGAATTATCCGAAAATTCGTGGTATCGATAAATACACGATTCCTGATACAGTAGTGAATGTGTGTATACTATGATTAGTATTACAAATATTTAAAAATCACGTATGCAGTACACTGTAACTGCGTGAATGGAGGACAGGAAATGCACGTATGAATGCATAATAAGGGAAAGGTAATTTGAAAATAGTCAACTGAGATAATGCTTATTTCTCTATCTCTATCACAAGATTGATGTAATTATTACTAGATATTATTATTGGATGTCAGCAATTGTCTAAAATATAATTGGATTATATTAAAAAAAGGAACTGACTGTAACAAAAAAAAAAAAAAAAAAAAAAAAAAAAAAAAAAAAAAAAAAAAAAAAAAAAAAAAACATATAATGTATCACTAATAATGACAAAATACAAATAATCTCAGTAAAAACCTAAACGAGATCCACAATACAAATAAGAATACTAATTTATAAACTAATAATAAGATTTATAAGACATATATAATACATTTATTTTGAGCTTTCACACACGCATACATATACATGGTACTTATACAACAGCACAAATTTACTATTGTAAAGTGTACGTGAAAGTATTTTTATATAAAAAAGCATGTTGATATAGCAAAATATAAAAATTGTATAATTATGTATATATTTTAAACATTAATAACAGAAAGTATTATTCATTCTGTAAATTATCATATAAATAAGTTATACAATTATTAATCAGATGCTAATCTTGTTTGTTCCAAATCGGATTGTATGTCATTTAAAGCTGAAATCTGCTGTCTTTTTTTATCATTTTGCATGTACAAAACCAACGCTTTATTGACTTTCAAAAGTGTTCTGTATTTTCCACTTATATCCGAGACTGATTGAGATATTTCTCCTGAAATACGTAACAAACAGATCAATGTTTACATTTTGAAAGAACCTAAACCTAAGAACTAAGAACATAACCTCACTTTTGTTGTTTTCAAACTAAGATATTAAAATCAAAAATTTGCAAAACTTATTCAAAAAGAATATTTAACCTTAATATACGTAATATAGTTTATAACTCAATAAATAACTTAAAAAAATATATACTTACTTATAGAAGATGCAATATCATGAATAGTCGATTCTTTCGTGAGCCTTGGACGTTTTAATAACTCTTCCATTGTAATAAAATTAGAACTTTATCTTTTACATTCTCTACATAATTAAACTTCAAAAAATGAAGCAATAAAAGAAAGAAACGTGAGAAACTTTCAGAAATATCTACAGTGGCGCGAAAAACATTCACATTTATTACAATCGTGTATTCCAAGCAACGTACAAAATATTTAACTGTTATTTGACTTCAAAATTAAATTTGACGTGAAAACAGAATAAAAAAGAAACATAAAATGCACCTATAATACATTTCACAATAAAATTTATAATAAAGAAATATCTGTTCGATTATTTTTATATAGTAAAATGGGGATAAGAAAATTTTCTTTTAGCGTTTTAAATCTTGGAAATTGCAAGGCAATCCACGCACTTAATATGACAGTCAGTGGATTTGTTAAAAAAATTTCGTGAAATGGTTGCTTTCAAGTGAATAACATTTTTGCACATAAAAAAAAATATTACCAAGAATTGACCTTTGTGTACCATATTTTGCTGCCATCTACTTGCTCATAATGAAACATTATACCTTCACCTATGAATTCTAGATGTCACTACATACATGATATTGGTATCATATGGGATAGATCTTTTTTTTGTAAAAATAAATTATATCAGATATTTAATCAGATACATGTCGAAGTACAGCTAATAACATATTGCACATATCACATAAAGTTATATTTAACAATTAATCTCCTGGCATATATCGTTTTAATGCTTAATCTTGTAAACACAGTTACAAAAAATTATAAATCAACAGCAATTTTAAGTTATAATGCCTCAATTATAAGATCATTTATTACTGCCAGGAACT